AAAGGATTATGAAAGGAAATATGGTAATGTAGTTCAAACTACATTGGAAGTTCAACCGTGTTTTAAAACATTACTCCAGGCTGTCGTGTTTAGTTCAGGTTATTGAAATCCTGCCTGTGAGGGAAGGCACTGTGAAGATACAATCAGCCACAAACAGAAAATCATGTAGTGCCTTCAAGGGATAAGTGACGAGTAGATAAATAATTTTAAAACACATGGGGCAAAGATATTTTAATAGATCTGTCTGGTAAGTAATGAAGCGATGAAAAATGAAAAATTACTTCTGTTCGTTGGTTAAGACAACTCATACTAAATTGTTTTGATATCTGTGACAGAAGTCATCATGGCATTGTATTTTCTCATATGATTATACAAGCTTTTGGGCTCATATAAGGTATGTTACAAGTTAAGAGCATATTCTTCTACCTAATCTTCAAAAATAAGTTTGAAGCTTTTTGTTTGTAGTGCGATTGTACAGATGCCAACCAAAACTATACGAAGTCTTTCAGTGTTACATACTCCTTTTGTATTTGTACAAGCTTGTTCCATCTAGATAGTGGAATGGAGGAGGGAAGCCTCAAAATCACCTGTGGTGACAGAGAATATTTCAAGGCTTGCTACGGAGTCACGTAAACACATTCAGTTCCTCTGTTTTTATGAATTGGGTTGAATGCATTGTGCTAAGGTACTACCAAATTGCAGCTTGTTCATACTGGTTTTCCACTTGTTGCTATTCTTTATAGATAAACAAATAAGGAAACAAAAAAGATGCTCTGTAGGCATGCATCATGTCTTCTGCAACATGCATAGCTGAAAAGTTTGCCTTCTGATATATTCACTATTTTTGAAATATTAAATTCCTCTTGTGAACCAAATAATTGGGATACAGTTGGCTGATGGCTAGCTAGAATGTACATGGCTAAAATATTGAATTGAGCTTTTACATTTTATTTTTCCCCTTTAAATTTGCAGTTGGCATGTTTTCAACTAATACATCTTTTGTGTTACTTTATCGGTTCTGTAATGCCTACTTTGTGTAGTCATGATAACATTTCCGAGATGCTCTTCCTAACACAACCCTCCCCAAATTTAAAAAAAGCAAACCAACTTTGATCTTTTTCTGTACTTTTAGAGGATTTGCTTTTCCAGTGTGTGCACAGGCAGGTCTTCTCCCTGGAAGTTAACCTGTATTTGCTGTTTATCTCTTCTTACGATTGAGTTTAGTCATCTCTGTTCAGCATCATCATTTCTAGAAAAGCCAATCGTTACTGCATGTTTAGAGGTGAAGCTTTGAGAAACAATTTCATGCTGCACGCAGATATGTTCTAGTATTAAAAAAAAAAAAAAAAAGTTAAAAAGGGAGATCAAAGGAGTGCACAACATGGGTTTTAAGCTTTTTGAGAAGGTTGCTGTGTGTGTTTCTGATGGGTGCTGACAACTCCATTCTGGAATTAGGTTATTGAGATGCCCACAGCTCCACAGAGGGTACAGGGCACCTCGCAGAGCTGTGATGTGGGCTGAGGCTGAGACCTGGCTTGTATTTGCTCCACAGTCAGACTAATTCAAATGGAGTCATGATTTAAACAGTGATATAATTTGTGATATAATTAAATAGTGATTTTTCTGCTGTACACTGGCTAAGGGACTGGTGTAAGAGGTTAACTGTGGTTTAGTATGCAGTGGGGTATTTTATCCTAGGGGTACTTATATAAAGTAGTCTTGAGAAAGTCTTAAGGAAAGCAAAAAGAAAGACCTTGCAGGAAAGCCATGCTGACAATCTTATGTAAGAACTTTTTCTTCTTAAGTTCTTTCCGCTCTCCTTGATTTGTAAATCTCTAACCTGTGTCAAAAGTCAGCTCTGGCAAAGAGAGAGGGGCTGAGCAGATGTCCAAGTAAAATGAAGGTGTGAGTTCTGTTTGTTTTCATTCTGCTTTCTGTATAAGTTTTCTGCTTATACTTCTGGCCCTAGGAGTAAATGACAACAGAAACCCCTCTCAACCCCCACAAAATTGAGTTTTCAAGTCTTGTTTCTTGTTATTGCCAATTGAGCACAGACCTTTTGGGTTATGCTTAAGTGAAAGTTACATGACAACTGTAGCTTAATAGCTCATATCCTGATGAGATTCCAGTTCTAGTGGTAAACTAGACTAGTTGCAGTCTGGCTGCAGTGGGGAAAAAGCCCACAGCTAATGTAGATCCAGGATAGTTGAATAGCATTGTTACAGTATTCTTCAGTATAAGTCTTAAGATCTATGGTTTTTTAATCTCTGCTTTCTTTTCAAACAAAATCTGCATATTACAGGCAAAAGCAGCAAATTAACAATTTACATCAGAAGATAAGGGAGAACGAATTACGAGCTCAACACGCAAGACTGAGCCATCTTGTGAACTGCGAAGAACCTTACATGACTAATTTGCAGGTAGGATGGATATTTTTCTTTCAGCAAAGCTTTCTGTTTCCCAGTAACAGACACCTGAAAGCATAGTCACAGTTACCTGCAGGCCAAAATGTGGAGCTTTTGAGATTACTGATGATTGTGTAATTGTGTAGCCATAAATGGTATAGAGGAGAATACCTGCTAAATGTTGTAGTTTACTGTACCTTTGCAGAAATCTAAGTTATGGTAACACTTTGTACATACTTGTTTTGAAATCTGATAAAAATGGGGTAAGCGTGAGGGATTGTGACACTGTGAGAATAAGGGTTTGACAGCATGCATGTAGCACAGTTATGCTGGGAGATACTAGGAGATAAAGTAGTTTGATAAGAGAGTATCTGAAAACAACTGATGGAAGGTTTTCTGAAGAGGAGAAGGAAGTACTACCCAAAGGAGTGGTTAGAACAGATGGAAGAGATGTGAGAAGGCAAACAGACTGGTGGAATACCTTTGCATGAGACACCTGAAAAGGATATGGATTAGAACTCCTAGGGAGCACTTGGTCTGAAAGGGAATGTGTGGTGGTATTTTGTGCATACCTGTCCTAATTTTTATCTAACAGTACAAATATGAGAAAGTGTAAGTAAGGTTGAGGAAGCATAGGCTGACCACAATGTGCGGATAGTTTGAGGGCTGTGGCTGCTACCCTGCTGTAGCACACAAACTCCATCTCCAGACCTCGGCATATCTAAAAGGCAATGCAGAAAGAGAATGTTGAAGGCAGATACACAGTGAAATAACTTTTCTGTTCCCCTTCTATTACTTTTTTTTTTTTTTTCTGTCACAAACACTGCATCAGGATCTCAGCTAGCATATTTCAGCGTGACATTAATTATGTCCTTGGAATAACACAGCAGTGCATCAGGTGAGAATCTGGTTTGTGTGAGACAGGAGAGAAATTCAAGCGGAGCCTAGGTATGAAGTTAGGTATTCAGAAGCTTTTTCAGACATTTAGGAATGTGGCTTTCGGTGCTTCCGGAAGTTCTTCTGTAAAAGACTTTAAAATTCAGTCTAGAGTAAGAATTTTTTTAAAAATTACTGCAAATCTGAAATTTTAGTGTATGTATCTTAGTATAGGCTTCAAATAAAGCAGCCGATTCATTCATCTTTCATAATTTCAAGAGTTAAAAAAAATTTATGATGTATTAGGCTTTTAGAACATAGTAGGATTTCTGCCTGATTTGTGTGCCTTCTGTAAGATTAACTTACAAATGCAAATCTCCTTTAATGGAGGTTTTAATCTTTTAATGCTTTGCTGAAGGAATGTTACTAGTTAAAAATACTGTCTGTATAATTTCTTTAAAAATACCGATTTATGTTATTAAAAGAATCTTGAAATGGAAAGCCTAATGGGATGCATCTCCTTTTTCATCCCACATGCAGTTGATTTCCATTTTCTGCTTGTCTGTCTGTGGGCAGTGGAGGTAGAAGAGTAATATTGAGCTGCATGAAATGGAAAGGGAGGAGAGTTTTGGTATACAGGACAGAAGGTAGGAAGCCTGCCTTCTGATTGTAGCTGTAGTCTCAGGCTTGTCTCTGCACCATTCTGCACCTCAGGTGTGATAGCTCTAATGTTTAACTAGTACTAATGTTCTGCTTTAGAAGGATCTTGAGATTGGAGTATCTCTTACTTTAATATATTCATAGCCATTTTATAGTGTGTTTTTCTTCCTAGGGGGTGCTATGATAATGCAGTGGCAGTGAATTGTTTTGGAAACAATTTTTGTTTGTATTTTCAGGAGTTTCTTTTGGCAGAAAAGTTACACGTCTTCCATAAATCGGGGGGGGTGGGGGGGGGGGGTTGTGGCACCAAAATGTTCATTTGCATGTGTTGTGCATATAAAGGTGTCCAGCTTCTTTATGCTTTTGCTCCAGATTCCTGAAATACATGCTGTTGCCACATATTTTAATGTTTGAAAAATCAAACCCCACCCTTCCTGACAGTGGTAAAAAATACAGGACTTTTCTGCTGTGCTGCTCAAGTATACAGTGGTATGTGTGCTTTCATTTGTGTGACTATTTTATTTCTCTTTGTAAGCAACCACAGTATGAGAGCACACCACTTCAACCTCACATTTCGGAAAGATCAACATCTCACCTCGAGGAGCTTGAGCGAAAGATTGCAGCAGCTGAGAATAAGGAATTACAACTCAATGAATTTGTAAAACAAATTTCAAACAAATTTAGTGAGGAGAGGAAGAAGATGGAGGAGAAAGTAAGTGTCTTTCATGTTCCAGATTTTCTTTTGACACTGTTACAGCAGCGTATGTTTTGTTTGCTAGAAAGCAGCTTAGTATGTGGGTTGTTGAGCTATTTTCAAAAGGTAGCTAAACTATCTGTGATAGAAAAATTGATAGTTAGTGATTGTAGGTGTTGGCGATGGTTAAATGTGAACTTGTAGTGAATACATCCTAAAAGGCGGTACTAGATGAAATGGCAATCATGGTGACTGTTGTTTTAACCAGGTATCAGTTAAACTTGCTTTGAAGAAAAGCTACTCAGCTCTAAGAATTCGT